ACGTCTAGTGATGCTGACTGCATAAGAAATTATGCAACTTAAAGAAATGTTGGGGTTTGTCCCAGCACAAAGACTCTTGCAGAGCATGAATTAATTCAACTCTTTGTCTTGTACATGTTTTTGTATTAAACCTCTTAAAAAATGAATAGATGTGTGCGACATGCAATAAAAACTATTTACAGAGTGTATATATTGCTCAGGTTTGCAAATCGTGGGAATTGGAAACCAGAGTTTGCTATGTCACTGATCGTTCTGCAAAATGGACACAAAAAATTCATCACAAAAACAGAGCTGCTGATTTTTCTTTTTTATGAAAAAGTGGGTTAATGAAACAGAAGGGGACGGTGTACTTACAAAAACTCAAGACGGGAGTAATTAAAAAGTTCTGCAGGTAGACTCCCTTCAAAATTGTTTCCCAAAATTGACCTGTGAGCAGTGCACAGTGCAGAGTAATATTAAATTCAGATGTACATATCAACTTTGACAATTCATTTTGTTTTAACTCTATCACAAAAAAAGTTTAACTGTCAATGTCTCTATGAGATAACAAGCTACAGACAATTCATTTTGTTGTAGGCACGCATGATCAGCACCTAAGATTTGAGAAGATTTACATGATACAAATTGCATGCAGTAACGTAAAGGAAAACTTACAGTGAATGTAGTTGGGTGCATTTTCGGATGAAGTCAGCTGGAAAGCGACCAGACATATAGTTGCCAGATATTGAACTGCATTGGCCAGTTAAGTTAGGCTCTCTCAAAAATTAATAAATTCACCTTACTGTAGATTGCAGGCATCAAGAACATTAAATAAAGAAAAATCCTGCTACAGTCACCAAATTTTTTTCCGCAAATGACATGGCCGTGTTTCATTTATTCAAATCTGGGTCCACTATTGACCCATTTATTTCCAACAAAATACTAAAGATGTGCATCAAGATATCATTTGGTAAGCAAATTTGATGACTCTGACATTATTAAATGAGAAACACTTACAATTCGCTCATCTGAGTAAGATTGGCATAATCCGGGAATTCCCCAGTAAGATCATTGGATCCCGCCCAGCTTCCACAACATGAGAACAAAAGAATGTAATCCCAGTAGAGATTTAAGTACCAAAATTTTCTCCTTCTTTTCTCATGATATATATATATATATATGTAACTTTGTTTGAAAGAAGCTTACAAGTCTTCGAGATTGCTCAAATTACTAAATGAGGGTGGAAGATGACCAGAGAGTCGATTCTTATCCAAAAATCTCAAAGCAGAAAAAAAAAAAGGAAGACGAATTCAGATATTTGTTTTCAGTAGAAAGCTTAGCCTTTAGAATATATGTGCATAATTTGTCTCTCTGTATGTGTGTGTGTGATGGAGAGAGAGACAGAGAGACAGAGACAGAGAGACAGAGCGTGTTCATAAAGTGCAACAAGGGTGAGCAAAGAACTTACAATGTTTGAAGGGCTGTGATGTTTCCTAATTGGTTGGGAATTGGACCTGACAAGTTATTATAAGACAGAGACCTGCAAAACTCACAGATTATAAAGAAGAATTTGAAATGTTATACGAAGGAACCAGCTGATCATATAGCGAGTCCAAGAAAGTCGAAGAATTAAGTGCAATGGTGAAAACAAAAAGTTGCAGAAAGTTTCCTTACAATTTTTTCAGAGAACTCAGTGCACCCAGAGATGATGGTATCCGTCCGCTGAGGAAGTTGTGATCCAGAGAGCTTTTTGGCCAGAAAACAATGGAGCTAAGTTATTAGATGTTACCTTGTTAAAGCTCGGAGAAACAGATTAAACTTAAAGTCGACGAGTTAAGCCGAGTTGTAAGAAATACTGAAATTAGATATAGATATATACAAATTACAATATAGAATTCAAGATCAGATAGAAAGTCAGCCCATGTAAGAAAAAAGAAGAAGGAAAAAACCATGTTTAAATTCATTGAAGTGAAGTGAACCGATGTCTTTAAACCTTAAATTCTTTTCCCTTTTTTTGGGTAAAAAAACCTTAAATTCTTTCAATATTGAATATATACTGAAAGCAAAAAAAAAAAAAAAAAATACAGAAACCAATATTGGAAATATACTTACAGATAAGTAAGATTGCGCAAGGATTTTATGCGCTCTGATATGCCTCCGTTCAGTTGATTCATTGAAAGGTCTCTGAATATATGAAAACTCAATTATTGTGTATTCATATAAATCTAAAAAATATGTATATGTTTTGAGGTAAGGTCTGGCCCTCAAATGAATCCTTAAGTCCTTATCTATATTTATGTATATACACTTACAATTTTATGAGGGATGACAAATTCCACAAGGTATCAGGTATGGAACCGGTAAGCTTATTGCTGGATAAATCACTGTTTAGCATATAATACATGCAATGGATTCATCGTTAAAGAATAATGGAAGAAAATTAAATTGTATATTTCGTGACAATTAATAGAAGGGATCGGTTGAAAGACATTTTTTTTTAAAGAAAGAAAATGCACTGGCAAAGACAAGGGATCGGTATGCAACCGGTAAGCTTATTGCTGGATAAATCACTGTTTAAGTGAGGTATCATATAATCAATCATTTAGCATATAAGTATACAGAATCAACTAATAAATAAGAAATTAAATTGTATATATTTAGTGGCTTGGTTTCCTTTTTCGTGACAATTAATATATAAGGGATCGGTTGAAAGACTTTTTGTTAAAAAGAAAGATGTAAAATATCTAAGCTCAACTTGATTAAGTCCTGCACCAAAAGAACTGGCAAAGACAAGTTCTGAATCTTTAAAATAAATAAAAAATCAATTTATCTGAACTCTTTTTTTTTATTTTTAAAATTTTATTTTAAAATTTTTATTTTTAAAAAAACTGTTGGAATAACGATAGGAAATAATTACAGCGTCTCCAAATGCGTAAGGTTCTCCACTTCTTTAGGTATAAAACCAGTTAAAGCGGCGCCAGTAAAAGAACTGCAACACAAATCATTTGAGAAAAATTATTCTTAAAATTAAAAGTTGGACAAATTACATTGTTAAAACTCTTTGACATGGCAAATTGAACGAGTGCTCTATATATGTTGTATTAATTTTATTGTGACTTACAACTCTTTGACATGGCAATATCTGTTTCTGTCATTTCCACAGTCCTCTGTGCAATTGATCTTCAAATTGTTGGTATCCAAGTCTGGATAATGGCAAGCTGAGCCATTGAGGTGTGATGGCCTGCTATACTGTAACTTATCTAGGATCGAATTGAGGACGTCCACTGAGTGAGAGAGAAAGAGAGAGTGTGTTAATAACTCAAACTCGAGCCATAGCATCAAGGATTGTGAAATAAAGCAAAACTAAAATGAGTCCACGTGCATGTATGTATTATTAGCAAAATAAGAGTCCGTTTGGTAACATTTTTGCAATACATTTTCAAAAAATGAAAACGAGAAACGAATTTGCATTTTCAAGGTCCGAGAATGCCTCTAGTAACTTAGTTAGAAAATATATTCAAAAAACAAAAATAGTGGAAATGTATCTGGTTTCAATAAGAGAATAGCATAAACAACAATGAATATGTCACATCTTTCAAATTTTTGTTGAATTTGGGCTGAATACTCGGAGAATATTTTTCTTTCTTAAGTAGCTCTCATAACAAAATATTTATTAATTCAAAATGAGAGAAATGTGAACAAAAAGAGAGACGGATGAGAAACAAAACAGTCGTATACCTTCTTTAGGATCCAACTCAATAGTTGTATCGGAAGATCCATGCCTAAAACCAAACTGCCAAAGGAGGAAACTCAGGAGCATATACTCAACAAGAAGTCTTGGACGGGTTTCAATTTCAACCATTGTGCTTTGCTTTCAGATTCTAGTTTACTTCGGCAATATGCACACTAAGCCCTCTTCCCCTTTCTTATAAATAATTTAACAGAAAAATACTGATCTAATAAATCAAATCATTAATTAAGTGGTCCTTGCACACTGATTTTTGTTGTGTACGATTTTTGTTGTGTCAAATTTGTGGTGGCAATTTATTGAGGGGGACCATGCATTTCTCACTTGTCAAATTTGTGGTGGCAATTTATTGAGGTCGACTCTTTGTAAAAGCCTTTTTAAAGAAATATGAGGGTTTTAGTTGTTTAAGAATCTTTTATAACAATATATATATATATATATATGTAGTGATGGGTTTTAGTTGTAAATTTGCTTTCAATATAGATGGTCCAATTTGTTTCATAATATTTTCGTTGAAGACTTTCTTTTAGGAGGCCTCATTGCTCACAATATATATAACTTTGTTTGAAAGAAGCTTACAAGTATTGGAGATTGCTCAAATTACTAAATGAGGGTGGAAGACGACCAGAGAGTCGATTCTGATCCAAAATTCTCAAAGCAGAAAAAAAAAAAAAAAAAGGAAGACGAATTCAGAATATATGTACATAATTTGTCTCTCTGTATGTGTGTGTGATGGAGGGAGAGAGAGAGAGAGAGAGAGAGAGAGAGAGAGCGTGTTCATAAGGTGCAACAGAGGTGAGCAAAGAACTTACAATATTTGAAGGGCTGTGATGTTTCCTAATTAACGGGAAATTAGCACCACTAACCGACAACTCTCTGTGGTCAGTAGATACCTCTTAAGTGGCGAAAATTCATAAGTAACGGTTTACTAGCGAGTGCAGCGGGGAAAAAAGGCTTGTCAGTAAAAATCCTGTCAGTGATATTAATACTGACCAACTTTTGCAACTTAGTCCGTATAGGTTTGTAGTATCTGACACAAGTCATAAAGTGACTTCAATTTGTTATTGACAAAACAAATGGCCAGTAGAGTTCCAAAACTTTAGTTGCCCAACCTAAGCCCTTCTTCGTGTCTCTAAATTATCAGGACATTCATCTTCAACTCATTTGTTTGCCTGCATTAGTTTGCCTAAGCCCTTCTTTAGTTTGCCTGCATTTCAGCCGAACAAAAAACAAAGATATATATATTCAGTTCATCATTCTCCATCAAATTCCATGGTCATCATAGAATAACCAGCCCAATAAAATCTACAATGATGAATTGTACAATTAGTCTTCTGGACCTCTACATTTCAGTTTTTCATATACTTGAACAAATAAAAGAACATAAAGAACAATGAACAAGAAAAAAGAATAAACATTCAAGTGCATCATAAACTTACATATTGTGCTTTGCTTCGAGCATAAGACTTTGTGCCAGATGTGTGATTCAACATTTGTTTACTCCAATTTTCAGCATTTCTATTAGCTTGTTCCTATTATTCGCAAAAACAAAACATACTTGATCATTGCACAGATTATATATATATATATTGACTGTTGTGTAATAATACGTACTGCAGTCTCATCTTTTTCCCAATGTTCAACCAACACCAGCAAATGGTCTGGGTCTACACGAGAATCCCCACATTGCCACCGTCTTTTACTTCCTTTGAAAGGTTTATAATAAGCTTTCTTCAAATTACTCTTGAAACTTCTCCACAATTTTTCATTATTCTTCATTTATACATCCTTGAAGACATGAATCAAAGGCTGCTATTCAGGACGAAATTCAATAATGCATATCCCTTGACCCCGATCCTGCTTCGCCTCATTGCCTGCATGAAAAATTAATTTTAACTGCTCAATACAACAAGAAAAGAATAAAAAAACTGTAAGGTAATAAGTTTCTCATATATCCCATATACAATATATTTATATAATGATTAAAACATACCGATTTATCAAAAGAAAAAGAAAAAACCAACATACAAGTACAACTTGCAGAACCATCTCCCTCTAAACCATCCCCCAAGTCAACATTGAGCCCTTCTTGTGAACTATCTCCAGAACTACTCATCTAAAGTGGTAACAAATTAATCAGACATCATTGGTAAAAAAAAAACCTATTACTTCAGCATTTCAATACAAAACAATCTATTGTCTCTCAATTGGATGACCCTCAACACCATCTACTTCAACTCACAAGCAAAACCAAATTAAAATAACAAAAATGTGAGACTAAAGAATGTATTAAACAAGAAATTGTACATTCATTGAACAGAAGAAAAGAATAAATAACACCAAACAAGTAGACCACGTTATAACAAACAAATAAAGTATGCATATTAACCGAAATTTATCAACTCACACATATATAAAAGCAAAATACTCTCAATACTTTTTTTCTAATAGAAACAATTTTATTAAGAACCAAAAAAGAAACACAAGAAAGAGGACAAAAATCCCCCAGGGCAAACCACCAGAACCACAACCCAAACAAAACAAAACAGAAGATAAAGCCCCCTAAAACAAACAAACAAGCCCCAGACTTCATCAACAAATAATAAAAGATTGAAACAAGAGCTTTAAAAAATCATAGGATATATAATTACAACTGGTACATCGTCCATGTCTGCATCTTAAAATTTGTATTCTAATTTATAACTAATCAGAAGGATTCGTGGGTCATTGCCTATACTCAAATACTTGAAAAAATAAAAGAAATGGGAACATAAATCTCACAAGAACAGGGTGAAAATGGTACTTAGGTGACGAGGGGTAAATTTTACGACGCTCAAACCACTATGCCAAAAAAGGGCTTTAGCAACGGATAAAATATGTTGCCTATTACACATAAATACCGTGGTATTGGTGACTGTTGCCTATTCCTATGTAATAGGCAACGGATATTCTCCGTCGCTGTTTGTCACTTACTACATCGGATATTTGGTAAACTCCGATGCGTAAATGATTTTCGAGTGCCAAAAAAATGTTGACTTCTGACGCCTAAACCCGAAACAGCATCAGTAGTTTCAAAAGGGATGAGGTTAAAGAGGTCTAACAGCATCAGTGACATCTACTATGCTGATGCATATTATCAATTACAACATCGTAGAAA